TAAATTTAATAATTGGCGATTTTAGCGCCCCTTTTTGAACATCGCCCAGGGCACGCAACCTGCCTGCCTCACCCTAGATACGCCTCTGCTCTTTCTACGCAATTCTGATCACTTTCAGCTCTGAGATCTCGACGTACAGATGGACGAAGCCCTAGTAATTCACTTGTTAATAGCATATTTGCGTTTTTGAAAAATGCTCTAAAAAGTAAATGAACAATACAATACTTACGGTTTTTATCTTTTCTGGTATTCCCCGTGAAAGTTTTGTTTTGGACATAAATAGAAAAAATCAGAACATGAGAACTCTATGGAAAACCTACAATTGATTCAAATAAACATGCAAGCCCATGATTGATAAAGAAAAAAGAATTTATTTCGAAACTAATACGCAATAAATAATTACTAAATGCCTGAAATAAGGGCACAACCTCGTTAAGTTACTCCACACGCAGCTGGTCGACACGAATAAACAAATAAAGTCCTAAAATTACTTACAATAATCCTTTTAATACAACGGCCGTGACGCACTTAACACTAATTATACCTACAAAACACTCCTTGAAAGCTTCAGGAAACTTCACCACTTTTCTACTCTAATACAAACTGGCTTAATTAACACACTAATGCATTGACTGTTCAAATGGGTAACACTTTGACTTTTATCACACAAAAGTACCTACCTTCTAGCAAAGTCTTATTTTTCAGCAACGTAGCTTCTTCTGTAAAGGGACAAACCACATTAACTTCTCACAAGACTTTAACCTCAACAGAACGCAACGCGCGTCTGCACATACGACGAATTTAGAAAAAGGTTTTTCCATTTTCCAGGAAATTTATCCGATAGGTATTCTCGTACGATTAGAGCGTTGTGCGCGGATGCACCATCCTGTTGAAACGACCAGAGTTTCCAACTTTTGTTTTTTCTGTGCCGTACATCGTTGTATTCGTTTTTGCGCGCCATATAAAAAAATAAAGTTGATGGTGATTTTTCCAAAACGAAACTTTGTATTGAAAATTTCTCAACGGTGTCTAGGACAGCTTAAAAAGTGGCAATGGGAAAGTGTTTTTTTTAAATACTTTTTGTATCTGGTTAAATAACACCAGCAACGGTTTAATTGCGCAACTTTTCTTTAATTTGACCATCGTCGTATCTTCCATCATTTCCGAGGTCCCCATGACATACATCCTTATACTGCACACAGTGTATATTGAAAACTGTAGTAGTTGCGGCCTCAGACGGACGGACGGAGAGAGTGTCCATAATAGCGTTTGCCAATATGATTTGGAAAATGCACTAAAAATACGTGTACGGTCGTCGGAAAAAAGCTGTCAAACACGGAAAATGTAAACATATTTGCTAGTAGTTCCAAAAGTTCAAGTGCAAGTATTTCAAGAACGAAGTGGCTCGTAAAGGCAATATGGAACTTTGGCACGCGACGCATGTGTTGGTGTGATAAAGCGCTCGAAAATCGAATTTTGAAAGAAGGTGTTCTCAATAGGTAAATAGCATAGCTAGACAAGACGCATTTGTTGTTTGGGTCACACTTCAACAAAAAAAAAACAGATAAAATGGTTATATGTTGCTTGTCTTCATGTGAATATCCTATTGGACTTGAAATATTAACTTACACAGTAATAAACATGTTTTTATTATGAAACTACCATGTAAGCGTGTGCTTAACTTGCCCCTCTTTTAATTGCATCCTTAAATCTTATAATGTATCTACACATTTCTTAAATTGTACTGTTTTTATTTCTTATACACATCGGTCCGAAAGTCTGGATTATATCGCTCTAAATAGATTGTTTCTTAGACCACTGTTTTGTTTTTATAACCTTCGTGATCGAGACAACTGAAATAATTATTAACCACCACATACTTCCTCGAATTTCGAAGTTCTACTTTGGTAAGAAATTTAAAGGCAACCTAATATTAATATGGTTTATTTAATTTTTTTGGATATATATTTCTTTATCATCATTTATATTGTAACGTAAATTTAATTACGTGATTTATTTATGTACAATTCACTAACAATATATTTCTAAGAATCTTGAAATTGATTTATAACAGTTAAAGTATTATTTATCACTCACATATGCACAATTTATAACAGCGCGATCTATTTATTACTTTGGTTTTGAAATTGGAACTGACTGAATTCGATTTGATTATATAGCAAACAACAATCGTTTTAGATGCCGAGTGCTTCCGACCGCTTTCGAATGTTCTAGAACAAACACGTCATATTTCCCGAATAGAATGCGTCACATCCGCTTTCGTTTCTTATCACCTATGGTTAAACTTTTATGGCGCCTCGATGTCTATCGGGATTTCTGGAATATTCGCTACATATTAAAATATTCTATTACCATTAGCAATACCATTAGTATACCAATAGTGCAGTTTTTGAATTTTTGAAAATGTGCTAAAAATCTACTAAACCTGCGTGTAGGTTTGTTTGAACAATGCTCCTTCTATAGCCACACATGATTGCCTTACACGATTTTTGCCAGCATTCCGCGTTTTGCTTAGGAAAGTGTGTCAATATTTTATATTCTGATAAAGAGAAAGTCTATAAGTAAAATAGGCAAAGGTATATCTTGTAAATATAAAAAAGATACCTTATATGCGACTATATTGAGCAATGAAATACCAAAGCTTTTATGTGAAACATTTTCCAATGAAGTTAATATATACATAAACTCTTAATTCTGAATTATTTCACACTTTTGATACACTCTGTAAGTAGTCTCCAAAAGTTTGCGACCAATGTGAGTTTCTGTAGGTACTGCGATTTCTCCGTATGCTTATATCGCGTGTGCGCAATTGTCCCGGTATTGAAAAGTCGAGGGAGCGAAATGCGTTGGTGGAAATTATTCAATTGTAAATTATTCCGGTGGAAGTTGCCCGGGTGCTAATTATCCGATTGCGAATTGTTCCGGTTTGAACGACTTCGGTGCAAATTATAAGTGTGATTTCGGTGCAAATTGTACGCACCGGATTTGAGGGACATTAAAAAAATTAAATATGTGCCGTTAGCCATTGCAGTAAATTAGTAATACGTAAAAACAAGAATTTCAGTTTAAGTAAAAGATCAGGGATACGTTATGTCACTATTGTCGCAGTATTCACCTATAAAAATTACCACCGTGAGTTATTTGTCGTATTTAGGGGAAAAACATTTGAATATTACTTCTCGTCCAGGATGTTTGATCCAATGCTATCGTTCGGATTTACTGGTGTAATTAAAAAAAAGGTAGTTATATCCATAATATTAACGTGCAGTCCATGTTCGGGAGATAATAATAATAATTATGTCGTGACCGTGTGAATTGTACCCTTGAAGAAGTAAAGGAAGAGATGGCGACTGAAGGAGTCATAGATGTTAGACGTATTAAGACCAGAATAAATGGACATTTGGTCGACACTGCTACTCATATATTGACATTTAATAATCCTACGATACCTGAAAAGGTTAAAGCTGGATTTTATCGTTTAGCAGTACACTTGTATTTCCGGTCCCAATGATATGTTTTAGATGTCAACAGTTAGGACAGACTGTAGTCAGATGTTCAAACAAGCAGATATGTGTATGCGCGAAAGATGTGCACGAAGGCAAATCATGCGATTCGCCAATCGAATGTGTGAACTATAATGGAAGCCACAATTTTAGATAAAAAGACGGTCTTGTATACAGGGTGTTACGAAATTCGCGCCCACGGTCAATTCTGAGACAAAACTGAAAAGAAAACTATTACGATTTCAAGAAATCTATCACAAGAGAATAAAGAGCTATAAAACTAAATCTATCTAGTGAATTACAATTACCTAGATGGCGTAAGGATTTAAATAAAGCGTCGCATTCAAATGAAAGCACCGAGCAAATCCAGATCGATATCAAACGACAAAAAAAATCGTCACAATTTCAATAGTCATCACACTTTGTGGGGATCGAGGTGGGGATCTATTCTGATGAGAGACATATGAGAAGAGATAGTCATCATTGTCAATGACGACGACTTACTGATGGCTCGCTAGCACATTGTGGCACAGACGGGAGGAGTGGAAGGTTTCGGAGAAACTGTACGGTAGCGATCACTTCCCCAGTATAAT